AAATCCCCCTAAGTTGTGAAGGGGGGTGGACCATAGACTTTAAGAACAAGAACACTGGTATTACAAGATGTATAGACGTGTTTAAGTATATGCCAAATTCGCATGTCTTTTTGCATCTGACAACCCTGGACCGACGTATTCAGACGACTACAGATAAAAGCTTTACCGATCCAAATAAAAAAGACAATCTTTATGCCAATAAATACTTAAAATATAAATGTCAATATTTCGATACTATGAATCATTCGTTTTATGGTAGTATCTAGGATCATAGATCATAAGCAGGATGACGGGTTACCAGATGGTAAGTAACTACCGTCGCCCATGGACACTTGTAATTCAAGAGTCATAGGTGTGTGGCGACTCCCACATACAAAGAAACAGAAACATACGACAGCGCCATCTAATGATGAAGTCAATCGCTCGAAGGGCGAAAGAAGCGGCAGGCAAAAACTAGTTTTACTTATTATCTTTCTACGGTTTGATACCAAGAAATTCAATCATCGTGTCACAAGTATTATTCCAAAATAAGTTTTTATTTTCCGACCAGTCATTTTCTACATTACACATAGACTGGTATTTACATCCTTAAAAGAGTAGAATAAACACCTGAAATACAAAATATAAAAAAAAACCTTTAAAATAAATCCTTGAAATTATATCTGACATAATTTCTCAATTAAAACTTATGCAATGTTGTTTTGAGTTTAACGAATAAACCAAAGAATAAACATTAGATGACGTTACTCGTCGCTGGTTGGTTAAACGTGTGTCAGACGACTCTTCACCACGATTCACTAGCGATACTACTTTACGTCGTTACGGGAACATTAAAACTATCGCTATTGTAAATTACGAATATTGTTGTAGGGGTGGTGAATAACCGTTTTTGCCATGTTATCTAGCACCAACTATAACTCGAATGCCGAAATTTTCCCAAACGCCTAGCCCACTTCGCCAAATTCGGTTTTTACTAACAGATGACGTCAGAACCGCTCTTTACTCAGTACTTTGAAACATACGAGTTATTTCTTTATTCTCATGTCTGTTCTTACATAATAATATCTCGGTAATTACTGTGTAAACCTCACAGTTAAGGCAAATAAGATGATATTAAATAAAACTGTACATACACACATACAAATAGCAATAATATGTTGGTTATCGAGACGGCATTGGAAATCCTATAACTTTTTAAGCATAGGTATTTGAGGTGAGTTTATGAGTTAAAATGGACGCCGCACAGATGTATTTCCGCTCTGGTGGTCAAAGGGTTAAGTTTCACCTGCAGCTTGTGATAAAACGATGGAAAGTGCCTTAATTCTTTCGGAACGGTTAAAATTTATTACCCTGCCGGTTTTTACTAATAAAAAAACTATAAAATCCGTAAAATATTTCCACCAAATTTCTAATCGTCAATAACCAAACCATCAAATAGGAAAGTAACTGTAAAAATAAACATTTCTACTAGGTACCGTGGAACGTATGAGAACTAAAGGCCTATTATACTGTAGTGAGAAATTGCCCCTCCATTAAATATAAAAATCTGCTTCGATTTCGGTAAGACTGAACAAAGTATTGTCAATCACGAATGTTTATTCTGACATTGGTTTCTGATCAAAACCGGTAAGCAGGTGGACAATAAACATTATTTAAACGGCGAAGAATACATTGTTTAATTCTAGTAAAGACAAGTAATGCATATCTTCAATCATCGGAGTATTCTGACAACTGTCATTTGTAAACGAATTAAAAAAATTGTAGGTTCTTAATTCGACTGATTGTTCGTTTTTTGTAAACCAATTATTTAGAATTGATTTTGTTGCACGAAATGTGAATACGTAATGGACTAAATACCTACAGCTCATGAATTTTAAAAAAAAGTGTCTAGTACCTAATGATAATTTATTTCAAAGTACGGCAATTTTTAACTTTTGTATTTCGAATGGCAAAAAACGTGACAAATACAAGAAGAAAATTATTTATTTTGTATACCAGAATAGAATCCTTTAAATGTCATATTACTTTGTCAGTTAAACCAGCATAAAACTTTCTTAAGTTTTATATCCTTGTAGTCCTCCGTCCTTGAAGTACGCAGACACGAAATTGTAACAGAGGATCTATTTTCAACTCACTGTGTTGAAAGCGACGCAGACAGCCGAAAATCAGATATCTGCCTCTGTAACTGAGTCACCAAGCAATATCTAAAATATTTACATAGAGGCTACGTTTGATTGCGAAAAAGAATGTTAAATGTAAAACTAAAACCGGTCAGGTACGAGTCGAACTTGTGCGCCGAGGGTTCCGTACCTACCCAGATTTTATGTAGATTTTCGCGAACATTTGTAAGTACCAAAATTTATCTTAATTTTCAACTTTTTATTTTTTGGAATTATTCCTTTATTTGTGCTGTAAGACGTTTCTTTTTGCCAAATTTCGTGATTCTAGGTCAACGGGAACTACCATATAGGTTTTCGACCCAAAACCTATAGGGTACTGCCGGTTGACCTAGAATTGTCAATTTTGGTTAAATTGCCCATATCTTTTTATCATGTTGACTCAGGACCTTGATTTTTATACACCTAATAGGGACCATAGACTTTAGTCTCTGGTATAAATTTCAACTTGCTAGGTCTACCCGTTCCTGAGAAAATCGGTGGTGACACACGGACAGACAGACAGACGGACAAGAAAGTGATCTTATAGGGGTTCCTGTTTTACCTTTTGAGGTACGGAACCCTAATAAAGTATGGCGCCGCGCCGGCGCCGGTTGCTAACAGAATTGAAAGCAAGACCCTACGCAAAGATCAGGGTAAACATGAACATTCACACACCACACACAACACGACGTTTATCCTAATATTTGTTTTCAGGAGTTTTAAGTAATTATGTTCTAAGCGTGTCTTTTAGTTAAACTATTTCAGCTAAATTAATTTAATTGAGCTGATATATTTCTATAGATGTGTGCTTTATTGTGAAAACGTATATTATACGTACTGAAATCTTTATAAACATAATACTTCTGTGTGTGTATGTGCTGAACTCCTCCTAAACGACTGGACGGATTTCGATGATTTTTTTGTGTTTTCAAGTGGATTCGAGAATGGGTTTGATTCACAATTTGTTCCATTACATTTTTTTTTTGTTTGGTTTATACGTGTGGACTGGACAAGGTCTGAGGGGTCCGGTAGTATATTTAATATTTTATTTGTATAATTACCAAATAAATACCTGTGTGTATAAAACACACATCCTTGCATTAAAGTCGTAAAACTGCATCAGTAAAAGATAAGGTTATGACTTTATCGTTTAGACGTTTTAAGATTTATTATTAGCGGACAGACCTAAAAGTGCCGACTTTTATCTTTTAAATTGATATGGTAACCCTGGCGAATTTAATATTCAGAAATCAAACGTATTGTGTGGTCGAGCATATCTCATGGAACCTGTCCTCGGGCTGTGCCGACAAGCGCGGATTAAAAAAAAGTCTAAAATGAACCATAAATAATACATTCTTATACTGTAGAATATGTATATTTAGTTTTTTTTAATTATATAATTATTTTAGAATGCAGTATGTATTCACACTTCAATTCTTATATAATGTGAAAGTAAGTTTGTTTGTTTGTTACACTTTCACGCCTAAACCACTAAACCGATTTAAAAAAAAAACACCAATGGAAAGTTACATGATCAGCGAATAACACGTTATATACCTACACGTTACATAGGCTACGTTTTTGCGATAACGGACACACACGCGGGTGGAATCGCGGGCAAAAGGTAATTATGTATAAAGAGAACTTTCAATTAATAAGTTTGCAAATTTTACTGGCATTATGTGTGCTCCTTTCTTGTGTGTTTTGTATTGAAGTTACATGTGTGTACATATGTATACCTACATATGTGAATATTTTTTATTGGAAGGGCTTTCTGACAAACTATTTAATTGACTGATATGACAATTTATCCTATGAAAAAATGGTATTAAGTTAACTTACATATTAAGTTACATCTATTTTTTACACTTATACAATTATACTTTACGCCAACACGAACGTGCAATTATCAGGTAGACATTTAAAAAAAATAAGCGTGATGTTACTATCGTTCTTTCGGTCAGTCTAGAGATTTCAAAGATAATAGAACAACGGAGGTGTTTAATTGCTCTTCCCTTGGTACTGCGACGGTACAAAAGCTGATTAGCTGAGCCGGCCGAAATACTCTCCAATGGGTTCAATGAATCAACAGCTGCTTAGCTGGAACTCAAGACCACCAGCACAGCAGTCGCATAAACTACCAGTGCGCCACCGAGACTATAAAGAGTACTATATGATATTTATTATTACAGCCGTTAATTCTACGACAATAACTGTTTTTCAATAAGTAAGGTTTTCTATGTATGGTCACTAAAGGTTACGACCCCGGATTCGTAACCAGAGGGCCTTTATCACCGATACGGACCAACACTCATAATTTAAGTGAACTAAGTATACAACGGAACTGACGATGTCGTGTAAATAGGTATCTATTAGGAAAAGGCGATATCCGTTTTTAGAAACTGCTAACAAATTGTTTCAATAACAGCAATAATTAGGTAATACTTAGGTACCCACTTGCGGTTAATAAATTAAGTCTCTATAAGTTGTAAGTATTGTTGGCCTACAACTAAAGATCCATATGTTCCCGAAAATTGATATATAAATAGTTAAAAACAATTATTTAATACAATTAACTCACCCAAGTCTCGTCTGCCGTGCTTGTAAAATCCATATAATTTTATCTTGATTTGTAGCTACTGACATGTTCCATTTTTATCAATAAATGTAATGAATTTTCGTTAAAGGTTGACCTTTGGACGGCCACTAGTAAACTTAAAATGTAAAATCATAAAAATCTATCGATCATATCGAAATATTAATAACATTATTTAAATTCCACATTCAAAGACAACATAAAAGAGGCGTTAGTATTTGTTTTACTTAATTGTCAATTTACAGTACACCGACTTACGACTTGGCTCCAAATCCAGACAAGCAATGGATACTGCGAGTGACGGATAAGATGAAGCCAATCCATCGTCAGTTTACCGACTTGCTGATGACTAAACGATTGCAAACGCTCCAGAGTGTTGATATGGTACGTCTACAAGTAAAGAATTTAGCACATCCATGTTCTTATAAAATCAAGACCATTTTGTAACATAGTTAAATTTAAATATTGAATTGCCTCTAAAGTTTTTATGCCGCATGCCGCCTACTTGTATAATATGTCAATTTTTCGGTCTGAATAAAGATAAGAAACCTCAGATACCTACATCTTTATTATTTTCTTCGTAAATATAAAATACATGTGTATTACTTTTCTTACTATATTTACATTTGCTATAATCTAGATATAATAGTATGCCACATGCATGCATCTAGATATAATAAGTCGCACCTACCGAAAAAACTAGGATACCACTAAAAAACTTCTGGTTCTGGTTTGTACCGGGTACAAAAAGTTGTACAAACAATACCCATAAATATCTATACAGTAATAGGTTTTCAAAAATATGTCGCAGTACTGATATACCAAAACTATCTAGACTATCATAGACAGGGACCTTCAAGTGCTGTGTGACAAACACCTCTTGTATAGTTGCCACTAGATTCTCCATCTTAGGTCACAGAAAAGCACCTAGTGTGATTAAGGCAAAGTAAAAGTTGAGTGAGTCTATATATAACTACCTCTCTATGTCATCGTTGGGATTCATTGTAGAGGAACTTTTTATATCGGAAAATGGCTAGACTAAACTCTTACTAGCTAGGTAGATCATTATGTGAGGTCCATAGTCGATTTTTACTGGTAAGTCTATTGGGTTCAAAATCCTCAGTAGTTCAACTTTGCTTTTAATGTAAGTCCCATAGGATGGAAATTCCTAGTAATACAACCGGTAAGACTATCCGGTAGGACTATTGAGAACAGGTCAAATTTTTCATCTTATTAGAAGATTGTACTAATCCATATAACAATTTAATAAAACAACTATCTTATGTTCTTTCTAGGCTGTTGAACGTGTTTATCAAGAGTTGAAGTCGTTAGGTGAATTAGATAACACATACCTGGTATACACGTCTGACCATGGATACCATTTGGGACAATTCGGATTAGTCAAAGGAAAGAGCTTCCCCTTTGAGTTCGATATCAGAGTACCCTTCCTGGTGAGAGGACCTGGTGTGGAACCTGGCACTGTGTAAGTTCTTTATAATCTATATCAATAATACAACCGATAAAAATATTACTTGAATAAACTTTTTTTCTAAAAATGTAGATTTGCAATCAATATTGACAACTCCCTACAATCGAGACCATTTATTGTTTATAACAATAGGTTATTGCTAATGCCAAAAAAAGCATTTCGATGTATCGAATTGCACCCCACACCAGCTGTATTGCGGCACGCACTCGACATTTAGTTGTATTTTTTAGTAGGGGCACAAGTGCAACGAATACTTCAGTATCAAAATGCAGTAGGTATTTAGCAAGGTGATTTAAATTTCACCTAATGATGATCACGTCATCACGTGAGTTAATGCGAAGCCAATTGTAAATTTTCAAATATTTTATTCCTCCAGTGGAACTTGATTAAATATTAACATGGCCAACAGTTTGCCTGATCTGTCAAATTGCGGAATGCATCGATGATTACATTGGTTTATCTGCATCACCAATCATAAGGATAATCACTAATTTACAATTATTAGAAATAATGATCAGCTGATTTACTGCACGAAATACTTACCGTGATTAACGGAGTGCACCCACATTTTAGATTAATAAGTATAAGTATAATAATAAGCTCTGCAGGTCCAGTAATTTAAATCACAAAGATACTCGCTCCTGGAACCACTCAGTTATTACCTTCTCAAGTGGCGCGTCGTAATTGTAGCACCATTTAAATACCGAAGTATGCATATCTTCTTGAATCAATTGCTCAAGCATAACCACTGATTTCTCGAACAAATGTTTTATTTTATTTGAATTCCAACTTTAATTAACAAAGCAGGGTAAATAAATTTAGTTTTTCTTTGATTACCTCGTCGTAGTTCCAATACTGCTATAAAACTACTCACTAAATACTTGATTGCGAAACAGTGATGACTGAGAAAACATCGTGGTTAAGTCTTTACATCTTTTTCAAACTCTTCTTACAGTGTGGACGATATAGTCCTGAACATCGATTTAGCGCCGACGTTCCTAGACATGGGTGGTGTGGAGCCACCAGCTCATATGGACGGCCGCTCTTTGTTACCTCTGCTACAACCAAGGCGGAGAAGACATGCGACTACGCACTGGCCTGATACGTTCCTTGTTGAAAGGTAGGTAATGTTATAGAATAAGTTCTACAAACCTAGGGGTTTGTTAGGGAATCTTCGGCAACATAAAATCACGACTTTACTATATATATATATATATATTTATATATATATATATATTATCAAATAGTTTAGTCTTAAAAATTTTGACTTTGGTGTTTTAAATCAGTAATCAATAGTCAATTTTTATACCCTAAGTTTTCAAGTACATTTAAAGTGTTAAATTATTTATAAGAAAACTAAAGGTGAACCTTAATATCGATACAAATATGTATAAAATGTTATTTTTCAGTTCTGGCCGCCGAGAAATGATGGGTCTAGGCCACCGTTCTCGAGAGAATAAATATAGCCGTGAAATGAACGAGAACAGAGCGACGACTTTACCCCCTCAGTCATCCGAGAGCGGGGACTTTGAAGAAGACACCGATGACGACGATTTCCTAGAACCTGACGATGATGATGATAACGATGTGAGAATAGAAAGCGATGCTTTATTTATTAAGAATGTTACATTATTATTATCCTTAATCAACTAATTACTGTGCTGCTACTTAGTTCACAAATTATACCTACTTCACTAGCTTACAAATTTTGATATTGACACAAACTTAGCAACCGCTCATAAAACTTATGCATTTATCATCTCGGAAAGTTCATAAATATATAGAGATGAACAATAAGACTTATCGACTTCTTTGTTTGACTTTGAACTCTTTAAATCATATACATTGCAGTGGATATAAAATGCATTACAATTATGTCATAATTTTGAAATAGTCGATTCTATGTTGTCATAAATTAATAGCATCTATGTAGTTCACGCTGTTTCTATAATCAACAAAAACAGATAGTATATACGTATATAGCTCATATGGGGTTAAAACTGTTTGTTGCCTCAGTTATATTTTTATAGAAATTAATTCAAGTATTTCTCATATCACAGTGACTTTCTCTTACTGATACACAACACCATAGTTAAATATGAGTACTCAATGCAATACTCAACACAGTCTGCTTTGCTTCTTCCCAGGTTTGAATTAAATTACTTTGAAAATTCATAGTTAAGTTAGCTACAATAACACCTCACAGTCTATGCAGGTATGCAGTTTCTGTTACCAAGCTGTGTTTACTCACACTATTAACATAACTTTGCTTGCTATTTTAATGTTCATACGAAGCAGCTTTTTTTGCTTTATACATATACAAGGTATGTGATGTCGATTACATACGTATTAAACGACTGACTTTCTTAATTAGATGTTTTAAGGTAATACATTTCTTTTTTTAAAGGAAAGCACAGAGAGCGATCCCAGTGAAAGTATAAAAAAATCCTCCGAGCCACTGATAACAAATGAGAGTCATAATCCCCTTCTTGAAGCGAGCATCGAAAAAGTGCTTAATGGTGAAGAGCAGCCCAACTTTTTAGCACCAGCGAATCAGTTCTTTGGCCGTAAGTTTAATTGTTATTATTGACACATTAGGAAATAAATCACAATTAAAATCTTCCTGAATTTAAAATGCGACTTATATAAATGAGAGCATTATCTAATAGAGAAACTTAATTAATATTATTGACACATTAGGCAATATAGCAAACCTATCCGAAAATATAACACACTTAAAATCCCCCTGAATTAAAAATGCGACTTATATAAATGAGAACATTATCTAATAGAGAAACTTAATAAACAAACTATCTGACAGAAGTAGGCGACTACAGTATAGAAAGCAAGGCAGCTCGTATCGCGGCTGACTGTTCCAAGGCTGAACTGCGTGCGCCATGTTCAGCGGGAAGAAAATGGAAATGTGTTCTGGTCAACGGGCGATGGCGAAGGCATAAGTGTAGATATGAGGTAAACATCTCTTTTAAATTCTGTACGTAATAAGATAAATTCTCTCATGCTATTATTTTGTTGGTTTAAAAAGTCTTATCTTTCTGTTTTACAGACTGATTCGATTACAGGACAATCTAAAATGAGCACAAAGAAATGTGCTTGCTTCACACCTAGTGGGCTTGTTTATACACGACTTGAGACTGATGGAACTATAGCCAGGCGACCCGGAGAACTTGTTAAAGAAAATGCCACTCGCAGTCGCAGGTCTATAGACAATGATGTGTATGAACCTAATACAGTCGACAGTATTCTGAAGGAAAACCCAAGTATAGGGCACTTGAGTTTTAGAAACGAACCTATCGATGAACAAGAAAATATGGATACAAGGGATAAAATAGACAAACTTATAACAGAAACTAAAGCCTTTCTAGAAGCTTATGAACGTACCAAAGAAAACATAGATCATAAAAGAACGAAACGTAGGGCTCAGCACAACTGGAATCATAACAAACATAAAAAAAAAGATGCCATCATAAATAACAATGAATCATCCTTAGAATGTAAGATAGAAAAAGATGGAACTGTAAACTGTTCACAGATTATTTACAACGATCTTAAAGCTTGGCATACTAACAGGTTGAGTTTAGAAGACCAAATAAGACAATTAAAGACTAAGTTAGAAGATTTAAAGGAAATAAAGAGACATTTGAAAACGGCCAAGCCTGTTACTGAAATTCAAACAGTTCATCCTGCTGTCATCGATAATCATCTTTTTAATAAGAACGTGACACATGAACGTAGTAGCTCAAAGGAACATTCACGAAAAACAAGCAGATTGCATAGAATTAAACCAAAACATAGAAACAGTACCAGTCAAGAGAAAAAGTTCAGACAGTCGAATGAGTATGTAGTGCCTATTCATACAAAAACGAAAGACGATGTATTTGGTATACAAACGAAGAATGACACTACTACCAAAACTCCTACAACATTTCCCCATAACATAACTAATGAGGTCGGTACAGCTATAAACGATACCAATTACAAGACGGAACTCCCAAACTCTCAGATCACTACTACCATTGTAGACGCCAACTATTTCGTTAAAAGTAGTGTAGAAGATACTAAAAGTACTTTATTAACTACTGATACAGAAATTACAACTGAATTCACTAAATATTTAGATGTAACTACCAAACATTCAGCCGAAGCAATCTCCAGTGACGGAGATTACTTCGCTCAAAAAGTGAACGTCTTCAATTCTGCAATAGATGAAATTTTGTCAACTGAGAAATCTTCGACATCACATCACACATCTACTTCGATCGGTAGTAGTACAATTACCAGCGTACTAAGTACTTCTACCATTAAACCAACTACGTTCAAACACACCACAATCACAGAATTAAATCTTGGTCCAGCGCGGCTGGATGCTTCAGAATATGAACAGAGAAACCCAAATAAAGCAACTTCTAAAACGATGGGTATTTTTGACAAACCCGTTGACGTGTTCCAGAAACGCTTGCATCCACTTTTTATAGAGAACGAAGATAAGCACGTCTGCTATTGTGAAGAAAACAGGTATGTGTCCTTTTAAAATATAAAATACAAGTAGTAACCCTCCTTAGTAAATTGCAAATTATAATCTTTCTTTGTTTTGACAACAGAAAATCAAAAGGACCTGGGCATAGCTATTTGGAAGCAGCACAAAAGGCTAGAGAAGAGCAAAGAAAAAGGAAAGCCCAATTACTTCAAAAGAAGTTAAGAAAGGCCAGAAAGAGGGTAGGTTTAAATCTGTTAATATATCGAATTTCAGTGTCAAAGCTACTTAATAATTAGTCCGAAAACTGTATGTGCGTATTGTGCTTAATTATTTATCAATTTCTAAACCTATTTAACCATTGTATTTGATGTTTGAAGGCAGTTTCTAGCTCCCTCTCTGTTGCGGTATGGATTAACGAATGTGTGAAATGTTTATTGTTTTATGTACACAGGCCGAACTGGAAAAGCTATGCGAGTCAGAACGCATGAACTGCTATCGTCATGACAATGACCACTGGCGCACAGCACCTTTCTGGACAGCGGGCCCTTTCTGTTTCTGTATGAGTACCTCTAATAACACGTACAACTGCGTCCGAACTATCAATGCGACGCACAATCTTCTCTACTGCGAATTTATCACAGGATTAGTGACTTATTACAACTTGAGGATCGGTTAGTACCCAAAACTCAATGCAATATCATTTCATAACATTAAACTATAAGCCATATTTAATATCCGTTTTTTCGTAGATCCTTTTGAAACTCAAAACAGAGTGAAGTATCTAACACCAGCCGAGAAAGATTACTTCCACAATCAGTTGCAACAGCTGCTCAGCTGTAGAGGTCCTTCATGTAGAAGGTTCTCACATTCTAACCCTCTCGGTAAGTGTCAAGCCACTAATTGAATAAAAAGAATGATCTTAGTCAACACTATTAGGAACATATAGTAGCTCAATTTAAATTTGCAGGTGGTAGTGAGGAAGTTGTGAGTCGACGTTTTGAAGATCACGTGTATAGAGGCGAAAACGTGGGATATAACGAAAGGTTCGCTATTAAATGTATAACAAATATTTTCAACACAATTAAATCTGTAAACGCAATCATTATAGTTTTTTGATAGCAGTCCCTTTTTTTCATAAAATATCGAGCCTTCTCTCAAATGAGAGATGATTGATTGATGAGAGTAGTTTAGTGCTTTTATGTGAACTTTACAAAAGTTAAAGAATACATTTTAGAGGACGATAATAAATACTTGAGTGGCAACAATGGTAATATTTGTAGTTGCCAAAACGGCAGTTAGGAAAACTTTGTTCTTCTGTCTGCTTGTTGCTTCTACAATAACTCAATTTTCTATTAACAGGGCATGGCGGTGGAACTACGGGCGACGCTACGCGAGAGCCCGTGAGCTTCACAAGCGTAGGCACATGACACCCTACTAGTCATCAAATTGCTAATTTTTTCTGGAATATGACACTTAGCAGATATTCTGCTAGACTCTGAGGGGACTTAGGCAGACAGCACGGGGCGGGAGCAATAATAATAGTTAGGTATTATTTATGGTTATAACTATACGCGGCTGCAAAATGACACAAGTTAGAGACAACATTATAATTCATATACGAATTATCCATTAACGAATCTAAACGAAAAAAATAAAAAGGACGACGAAAAACGATTAGTACTTTCTAGTACCTACCTATTTTCTTAGGTATTCTTGCTATACATCGAAAGTAGAACCTAGGGCTTCCTGTACCTATGTATTCTTAAATGTATATGTATACCTATACATTCTGACTGTCTTTTAGTCTTTAGATCATTTGAATAATTATATAACTACTTAAGGACATCTTTTTATTACGTAAGTGAAGAATTCTTTAAGACATTGTAACTTCTCACTGCCCGAACTAAAGAACGAATCAAAAATTATTAACTTTATAAATTTAGTTTTTTTTTGTATCATTACTATTGAAACAATACTAGCTGTAAGAGTAAACATCTCAAGAGTCAGATGGTACAATAATCTCTATAGATCTATCTTGCTATGAGTCTGTGTAAATTAAGCTTTAAATAAATATTCTGCAGTTAGGGGCGCTACACACGGCTAAGATACTATAATATTTTATCTTAAGATACAATATCGCTCGCCATACTATCTCTATCTTACAATACGAAAATATGAAATAAATATTATCTTCGTCGTGTGTAATGGTCCATTGAATAGTATAGCGAGCGATATTGTATCTTAAGATAAAATATTATAGTATCTTAGCCGTGTGTAGCGCCTTTTATGATTATGTCAATGTTAGTATTCTTAAATTAATAGTGTGTACACACTACCGGCCCTAGCTTTTGATCAAAGTAGACCACATATGTTTTTCACTTAATGTAGGTACCTACCTATTTCATTTTCATGTTAATAAATATTGTTCAATACTTAACTTTTATTCCCAATATCTCTCTTAAAGTTTGTACACCCACCCTAGCGAATTTTAAATGACGTGATAAAAAAATTGGTATTTTCGGCATCCTACGCTCAATGACCGTTCTCCGTCCGCTACACCAGGACCGAACGCTAATGTGTATTCAAATTATGATAGTTCAGTTTAGGAGTATCCAAATAGTCCTATTTGGGACAAACGTGCAAGTGTTGTGTGTACCACTTTATGAAGTATGATGTCTTCTGTTGGATGTAATTATTGAAGTTTGTTGTAGATGTTATGATGTAAGAGTATGACTGTAGTACACTCGCTATTTATCAATTAGACATTAATAAAAGTGATATTAAAATGTTGCCATTGTGATGATAATGTGTATTGATTGTAATAATAAAACTATTGGAAAAATGAGTTTTCTTTATAGCAATTTGTTCTTAACAAACACCCTTAATTTATTTATTATTCATTTAGAGATGACAATGATGATGAAGTGTACATACTTAATGTACATTGTGTTTTCTTGTTAATTACCCTTAAATATAGAAACTCACTTAAACTGTTGTCTTGAAATTAAATAAAACACTAGGTATATGACAGATTTCATAAGTACATTCAATTGATTCCACTTGGACTTGACACACTTAACTGGTGATGTGCCGGTAGTCAAGGATCTAAGAGGTAAGGATATAAATCCACCCTGATGAATATAGTCGTTAATCAGTAGTATTACAGCAGTGTTATATTTCTAATTGGCAACAAGACTCATCATCATAATTTTATTGAATTATTAGGTTCTATTTTATCTACAGTTCTATTCTCTTGGGAGCTTTAGAAGAATGGCTGTTGTATATTTTAGGAAACAAAAACCATGGCAGAATGTCTGCTTGTTTACCAAATTAGTTGTAACTTAATAGCACTTTTATTGTATCCACTTAACTACAGGTTTCATTTTACATTGGTTAGTTCTAAAGCAGCTGTTAATAAAGCATGTTGATATAAAAACTGTATTCATTTTTAAATTTCCTTATTATACAAACTATTAGACACATCAAAGGTGTAAGCAGCATAGTATAACTAAAAATTTTTATACAAGTTTCAACAGTGCTGTATGTAGAATTGATGAATAGATCTGATTTTGCTAGAATCTGACCAATTATCATGAATCATAATAATTGGTCATTTGACCAATATTGGCTGACCAATTATTTAGGTACTTGACAATGGAAAAACAAACAAAATTCAGTAATTAGAAAGTTAATCATATATTCAAAACATTGTCCAGTTCACTGTCATCACACAATGAAAACATATGATTATGTTGAGATAAATTTACAATAGTTGATGGCTTTAAGTCTGAATCCTCATCTTCTATAAATTCAGCCCATTTTGATTGTTTACTAATTACAGGTTGAATATTTTCATTACAATGACTATTAGATGCTTGATATGATAGGCTATCAAAATACAATTCCTTGACTTCACATACATTTGATTGATTCATAGTTTTTAATGTACAATCATTAGAAAAAGGTACTAAAACCTTGTCTTCAGGATGAGTACTATGACTTTCAGTTGCTGTTGCAGACACAGTGTTTTTACTACTTTTACAATACTTACTTAATTTTTTCCTGCGCTTTTCAGGGATTTCTAGAACAACTTCTGCTTCACCCAGATATATAGACTCATTTTTTTCTTCATCCACTGTCTCCGGAATTTCTAAATAATCAGACCATTTACTACTTACTGGTTGTGGCTGAGAAACGACTTCAATAGATTCTAAAAGCTCTTTATCATCACCTTCTTCGTCACTTTGACTATTCCTTTGCATTTGACCGCATTTCAGTTCATCTATTTCTCCTCTCATACTGTTCAGTTTTTGTACATGCAGTCTACAATCTTTTGCTGTTCCTATTCCATAGTGTCTCTTAACTGATTGCTTCTCACTACACAGTTTGCATTCCCATTTATTTGATTTTTTGGTTTGGTGAACCTGATTTCATTTTATTAAGAATAAAATTTACTATAGCTAAAGATCTTTCGGAATTAAGCAATTAAATTAAGATATTTAAACCGTTAATTTAATTATTTATTTTCTCTACTCAAAGCTTTTAGTAATAATAAACGTAAGTAATATAATTTTAATTTTATGTAGAACTTACCTGAAAAGTCAAACATTTGTAACATCGTAATACTTGAAATAATTGTGGCATTATATCATTTGTAAAAAATACTAACTTGTGGGAGTAATTTGTTACAAACAAAAGGTGTTCTGAATTTCAAATTCAAACTGAACTCCTAACAATCAAAAATGTTTTCGTTCAATGAATAACTGTCAATGTCATGACATAAATAAAGAATAGTGCGGTAAAGACTGGTAAAGTAGACAGTAGACATTGAAATTTTTGCTACTTTTGAATCATATTAATTTGATGATTGGTTTTAGTCACAGCGATTTCACATGTGGTTGTGATTTCGTCATTCGACAAAGATAAATGGCATTAAAAGCAATCAAAATTCTTTTTTTCGAAAACTACAACATTTTTATTTTTATCTGTTATATAAAGGTCTAATATAAAGACCTTTTGCGAGTTTGCGCTAGCGTAAGAAAAGTAATTATAATAATAAGGCGCAGTGGTTTTTTAAATCAGTCACAGGTGTGATGATATGATTTAGAAACTATATGATCTGTTATGATCTATCATATGTGATTGTGATTTTATGACATCCCCAGTAGACAGACAGCAGTCACGCTAGAGAAGTTACAACCACAGATCAGTACTACGAGTATGTAGCAAGGTTACAACTAAATAGAATTTTCTTAACCCTACATTGAATACAGTGCCATATGTGGCACAACCAATCTTACAGCTATCCATAAATAACAACTAGTGACACGTTGTGGTTGCCGGACTAATGTTTGCATACATAGTTACTGTGTAGTATCAGAAAATATAATTGTTAGTGATAGCTGTCAATCACTGTCAATTGTCAGAGAGATTTTGTTTGGAATTTTGGAAATTGATGGCAGTTTATTTCTGTAAACTAAAAAATCGCAAAAAAATTTGATTACTCATAATTTTAGAGTAAGAAAAAATATAAGTATATTGGTAATAGTGTATACTAAATAAAGGTATGTAATTTTGTTTTTATTATCTATTTTTATATACTAAAATATTAATTTCTTGAAAGTTCCAGTTATGAGTTCCAAATGTAAACACGATGCATTAGTTCACATTTGTGTATTCAAATGGATTACATTTAATTACAGATTATGTCAAACAAGAAGTTGTCTGATACAGAGATCGAGCAGTTTTTAGATAAACCTTCGAAGAACGAAAATGGACATGACTTTTCGGACACCGAAAGCGCCAACGATATTGCAACAATTCGACGGAACTTGGATCAGGTGAATAACTTTCCTTCCAACTCTGAAATTAATTTGCCCCCTAAAAGGTAAGCATCTTAGTGTCACCTGCCGCCATTACCACCTACCAATATTGATAACATCTTCCCTGAAAAGGTGCATAATCAATTGAATCCTCAGCCCAGCGCCTTAGGGTCAATTACGTCATCACGTCAAAGTAGAAGTTCTATCACTTTCCCAGCTGGATAACTGGAGTTCCAAAACTAGAAGGACGACTATAAGATATGGAACCACGTTTATTTTACAATCTCTCCTTTATCGTTGTAATTTCCTAACTATTACATAGAAGGGTCGGGGAATAGAGGAAAACATCAACAACGACAAAACCAAAAGATTTTAAATAAAAAATTGCTAAAAATTTTAGGCAAACTTTAATTTATAGGCAGTTTATTATACACAGTGCTTAGAGGCGATGCAAATTGGAAAAAGTGGTTGGGAACACCGAAGGTAAAAAATCGCGGGGTGGTGGACCAACAAAATGCACGTACCAAGTAAAAGAACCATCGTCCCTCAATCTGTGCATGGTCTTGACAGATGCGGTGGGCAAGAACCTTAGAAGAGAAATCGTCATCATTATCAATCATATGTAACTCTTATGCTGACCACGATTTTCAGATATGAATGACCGACCGCAGAGAAAAAGAGATAAGTCTCTGCCCATGTGGTCCATTCCTTCAGAAGAAAAGATCACGAACGTCTTCTGCAACTGATGATATGACTGCGATGAAGAAAAAAAATCTAATACAGCAATTCTTCCGCCTGAAGATGAAAGGCATGATGGATTTGACTGACTTGCCCATATGGAATCTGAAGACAACGCTGCAAGTATATTCAATGTCAATGTATCCTCGATCCTCAATTAAAAACATATTTATCCTGCAAAAGTATTTAAGAGTTGAATGATGTTTAAACAACTATAACAAATTGTTTCTATAATTTTACCAATAAACAGTAATGTATATATACATATAAGTATATTTTCAATTTATTTCTTTAATATTGGATTTAGTCGATTGTTGCTATTTAAATGCTTTATATTAGTGTAAATCCATATTGTACCACATATTAATAAAAAACTACTTATTTATTGGATTTTGATTTTTTTATTTTTTTTTCAGGTGTCTAGACCGTCGGGCACGCCGTCATCGCGGCGGTAAGACCCGTTATGGAGGATTGGCTCGAGAGGCGTCACGGGACCCTCTCATACCGACTGACGCAGTTGATCACTGGGAAAGGATGTTTCGGAGTTCACCTGTGTCTGATCCGCAAGGAGCCAACCACTGCGATGGCTAGACCACGAACACGGCTCTCCACACGCTGGCAGAGTGCCCGGCGTAGGTTGAGCAGAGGCGAGACCTTGTGGCGGCCATCGGAGTGGGAGTTCTCTCGCTCGATAGCCTGATTGCGGCTATCGTGCGGAGAGAGAGTGCGTGGAACTCTGCCGTCTCCTTCTGCGAGCAAGTTATGCTCGCGAAGGAGACGGCGGAGTGGGACCGGGAGAGGTTTAGAACTCTCCCGGCCCGCCAGGCCCGGGAACGGGCCAGGTACCGCAGGCGACTCAGGCGTCGGAGGTCGCAGAACGACCTCCGTCCTCCATAAGAGCAGGCCTGGGGGTGACAGGTGAGGCCATCTGTCACCCTAGCAGAGGCAGGCCGGGGCGCTTCGCAACGCGCTCGCTTCCAGGGAGCAGAGGGAACATGGGGTTCCCACAGGGGGGTCGTCTACTCGCCTGTAGATGGCCCGAGGTATGTCGGGGCACCAGGGACTTATTAGTACCCGAGAAGGCGTGCGGTTTAAGTCGGTTCGTGTCCGACATGCCACCGATAAGGGATTTCCAAAAAAAGAAGTGTCTAGACCGTATATAGAACCACATATATTTTTTTCAAAGCAATATTAAAAATCATGCATTGTTAGGTTAAAATATTACCCACTGCCATAATTTAATTGTTTCTACTTTGGTCTGTTTATTCATTTATTTAAAGCAAATGGTTAATTAAAGGGTTTTTCACATTAATATATTATAAAGGTAACAGGTAAAGAATAAAAGTTGATAAAGGAAGACGGAGAATCTAGTCGAGTGCTTTAGGAAAGTTCTATGTCCCGCTGTGTGAACTGTGATAGGCTTGTTGATAGCGTGAATATGATATTTTTCACTCTTGATGATGCCCTGACAAGTAACGAATGATTATTGGTACTAGTGTAAGTGTAGGTCGTTATCGTAATGATTAGTTTTCCTTAGGGCCTAATCAGCTAAGTAATAAAAACCTCGCCAAGTTGCGGAAAACTAATTTCAGTAATTTAATTTAAGTAAATAAAAAAAACTTTCTATAACATGTTATTGAAGTGAACACTTCTTTAGCGGCGTTGTACACTTTTTTTTAATGGGTAAAAAATGTTAAACTCGCGTCAGGACACGTGACCTGATCGAAAATTCGTAAGACGGATGGAGAGTAGACAGCCGGCGCGGCGTAGGAGAGGAAGTATCCCCCTCTCTTTCTACGGCGCGGCGAAAATTTATGCCTGCGCCTGCTGTTTCGTTTAGGCGGCGCAGGGCGCTTGCGCAAATGTTCGTGTGCGTTTATGCTTTTTAATGTAATATAAATTGTCATGTTTGTGTACGATAGCGCAATAAATAAATATTGTATTCTACCACATAAATGGTAGTACTTTTATACTGATAATTAAAGCAATTCGTGCAAAATTATTCCCTAACCATTCCAAAATATCAAAAATGCACAACGTTAATATTCAAGTTTTCACTTCTGCCGGCACTCCCGGAGTGCAACCCGTCGTTTTTTTATTGTTTGATTAGTGATCCTGACGGCGGAACCAAACCATTGACTGCTGAGATGCGTGATGAAATAAAACATCTTATTTATTCTTATTTTATATATTCATGAGCGACATTCATCACAGTTTTTGTATGTATAATAATATTTACAAGTTTGTCACATAAATTTTAACATATTTAAATTTCGTAATTCCTAGTGACAAAAGAAAATCATCAAAAATAGATACAAGTAGTTATTGGTGTATAACCAAATAACTATTAAAACCCTGATACAGGATCTTATATGCTTAGTAACTTGTATAACCGATTAGCGACCATTTCAAATTATTTAATACTTTACATTTTAATACTTATTAATGAATTAAAAATCAACATAACACGAAGACGACTCAAATAGCGCGAAAATTTTCTATCGATAAATGTATGGAGGAGTTGCCTAAGTACGGTCATTGCGATTGTACAGGTAAATTAAAACTAAGGGTTTAAGATTGTAGGGATAGATCTTGTGATCTAATCCTATTACATACTTCTTTCGTTTTTTTAAATCTCGGTTCAATTTCTCATATGAATGCCAGACATTCAGAAAATTAATTTCAGTGACAATGTGGTAACACCTTAGCGTGTTTTCTGTAAGTGTTCTATATTTTCAAACAATATTTTAGTAAGCCAGTTTTCTTTAACGCCACTCTCAATACCTAGATATATTAGTGTATTAAATTATATTCACTAAACCAGGGTTGTTGCGAATATAAGTATCAGCATCAGCATCCGCATGTTTTTAATATCGGCATCTGCAACACCAAATCGATGCTGAATTTTAATGCTGACATTCAAGTCGTAACGTGTTCGTTAAAAAAGCTGTCGGTTATTAACTCATTCGATTGTTTTGACAACATAAATGGATTGGACTTTAGTGAAATATTGTGTGACGTGCATGCATATGCACGTCACATATATAATAAGTATATCACTAACGTGTGTTGTGTGTAATAAATCTATACTTCCTTACTCATATTATAAACTAGCTTTTAACCACGGCTACGCCCGCGTGTATGTCGGTTATTAAAAGTAGCCTATATTAATACCGGATAATGCAGCTTTCCATTGGTGAAATAATTTTTATAATCGGTTTAGTGGTTTTGGCGGCAAAGCGTGACAAACAAACTCACTTTTACATTTATAATATACCTAAGTATAAAAGTATGGGTAACTTGTGTTATATTCAAAATAATAAGTCACATTTGCTTATATCTTTATACCAACTAGGATCAGCAGCAGCATCCGCTGATATTGATCTGAAAAATCATCATCAGCATCCGCAGATGTAGTAAAATCCTGAATCAGCAACAACCCTGCACTAAACTGCACGTTTTTTACTTAAATGTTGTAAAAACTTAATGGTTGTGATTTAAATTTAAATGAGTGTTGTACAGTTTTTTAAACATTTGTGGACTTGGCGCAAAGGGCGGCTTACTAGAATAATGTTGGACTCCCATAGGCCACACTCACCTTATATTTGTTGGTTGACCAATCAAGAGCCACTGTGTAACTTACTGACTTGTAAGTTGTAAGTAAGGGCTTAGTACAATTACTCTTAATCTATGTAAAAACGAATTGATTAGGTACCACACATAATAAAAGCTTACAACATATCGTATTCCTATAGTTACTTCGTACATAATTGATAAAGATATAGTATTATAATATTTTAAATACAAGAAGTTCAGTTTGAAACTATTTATTGTAAGACATTTTCGACTAAGTTCGGTAGGAATTCGAAAATATTCCTTATTAAAATCATCAATAACTTCATCAAAAATGTTATTTGCCGATATTGAAAATATTCAATTTAATTCATTTCTTTCATGGTTCGCAAAGAAGCTGTTAAACATTTTTTTTGTCCTATAATACAGAAAATAAAGAAAATGTATGATTTTTACAAGTCAATAATAATTCATAACCGAACTTAGCCTTAGCTTGTATTTGACATTTTCGTAAGTTTCGTAAGTAAATACTTTTACAAAGATAAGTTAATAGTAACTTAGGCTCTGGAAATGAATAACTAACGTTTTCTTAATTCAGTCTTACTTTCGAACCTATTTGTTAATGATTCTAGATAAATACAGGACAGAATTAGTTACAATTAAGGTAAAACTAAGTAATTTATGAAATTGAACTTAGTAAATTGGCACAATAATATTTCTTAACCTAAAATCTCGTTAGAATAGAATAAAAAAGGTTTATATAAACGTGCTATAGTGAGATGCTATATTAAGTGAAAATCACCTGAAGAACTATGAAGTCATTGTTGTCAGACCAGGCGGCCAATTCATTGCCCGCCTGTCCAGAATGCATTGGTATGTGTTCCTACCCCAGATGAGCCAAATGTATTATGATAAACACTATATTAACGTAAAAACCTGAATTGAAGTGCAAAGTTCAGACCGGTCAATTTAAAATGTGCAAATAGGGTCACTTAGTTTTCCGTTTCTACACTCAATTAAGTTAATGGCTTTACGTAACAAGAAACAATGGAGATTTATAACTAAATATAACAATTCCAAATAACCATAGCTCAAAAGCTTAATACACTAAAATCCGTTTTACATATTGCCAACTCGCTTTACTAAGGATATACAAAATTGCAGGAACTTCTTTTTTAAATCGAACTGTAAAATAATATTGTTTCTTCAAAATTCTTAATACTGTTTCTTATCTGGCTGACATCCCTTATATACTATACGAGTACATTAACACAAACCTAGTAAGGAGAAAGAACGTACCCATGATTTAGGTATAGATATATATATAGGTACCTATTTATTGTTAGTTTTCTTAAATCACTATTATATGGACATAAATTTTCACAAATATTGTTTTTATCATAACTGGATAGACAATAGAAGACATTGATTTTATTTAACATGTAGGAATAGTCAATTCTATTTACAAACCTTGACAATATTGGCACATCAATTTAGTTTTTAACTAATATTGGCAAATCTTATGAATGTATATACAAGCAATTGGCACAATAATGAGCTTGTTTTCATAAGCCATTTAGTTAGGCAAAAACTAGCTTAAACTAAAAAATTTAGCTTCAAATTTAATGTCATACAGAAACAAGATACTACTGGCTTATTTACTACTTATTTGTGTAAACCAAATGTGAAAATAAGTATGGAGTACCAATTTAAATTTTGGCAATATTAGTAACATAATGTTCTAGAAAATAGACACTAAATAGTTATTAGGTTGTGTATTCGTTAATAGTGTCAGAGAATAACGGGTCAGGGAGGTTACTTTGCATTTCTACCAGTTTTTATGGATACAAAACCCGTATTTCAAATTTAAAATCTAAGTAATAGAATCCATTCTGAGATCGTAATTTTTTTTATTGCATTTTCCTATGAGGAAATTGACTGTTCAGTACGAAATGTGCCCGAAAGAGTTCAATACACTGACTCGACAGAACAGGAGGTACGTAAAGGTTTATGTAAGACCAAGATTATTCTGACAAAATACAAATAAATAAAAAAAATTGGATGGATATGTATATCGCAACCACACACGGTAAATACACTTATTTTATAGAAGATATATAAGAATACATATTGTTACAATATATAATAATGGCTACTTACTTTGACTTGAATTGCATTAGACTTAAAAAAATCCTTTAAAAATAGTGTATGTTGATGAATACTCTTTTAATGTCGGTATTAAAGAGGTATGATATATACATACTTACATACATCATCCTACTCCGAGTCTTTTCTCAAACAAGGTCGGTGTCGGCGTTTAGTCTACAAAGACACAGCTGAACTTCGATTTTTACATGGTGCTACTTCCATCGAACCTCAACAACGAAAGTTATACAGCGCTATATAACGATATCGAAGTTCTGTAGATATAGTTATGTTATTAACGTTGTAAGCTACATTATATACATACATTTAACAATAAAATACAGTTTTGCCCACCCCCCCTGTCCCCTTCGGTGAACAACCGCATGATGTGCCAAGAACCATGTCTCCCCTCTAGTTTTCACTTAGACACTAAACTTTTTTTCAGTTTATATATCTTTCAGAGAACTTCTTGAATTTTATGAGGAACTTAGACTGTTTGTCTTGCGTGAGTTGTTTTTGCGCTATGTGTGCATTATGGTGGTTTTACGTGAATATCCACGACGCGCAGGTCCTCCTCCAATACCAGCCCCTTGTTGTGCTTCACACTCACGACGTACACGGTCTATTATATCTATTACCATTTTATTTTCACGAGAACGTCTCTCTTCCCAGTCAATCGGGCCAGGTAGCCGAGTAGGTACTGGTTCTGAAACAGTTTTTAAAATAAATGTGAAAGGTGTAGCACTTACTACTTACATTGCAATAAAATAAATGAGCTAGCAAGCTAGCCAAAGACTCCATAGTGAGCGCCGATTGCGACTTCGCATCAAACTAGAAATATCATCATCATCCGTAGTAGTAGAAAGCGGCGAGGTGACCGCTTTAACCACTAAGCTATTCATATCCAGTCATATTCTTTCCCTGACGTCATTTATAGAACCTGTGTCAATCAAAATAAATAAAATGTCAAAAGAATTTAAATTAAAAATCTTATTTGATTTACCTTTTAACTATTTTAACTAAATGTTTGTAGTAAAATATTTACCTTTGGCTCGGTACGTTTTTTTTACTTCTGTTGATTTCGTCACAGGTTTCGTGGAAGCTGTCTGGTAATTTGGGACGCTAGATGTTGGTATCACTAATTCAGGGTCAGGTGCCTCTTTTATCTCCTGTGGAATTGGTATTTTCACCTTCAAATTGCCTTCTATTTGCGAGTTAGATAATATTGGACTTGCGTCTGACAAAACATCAGCATGCTTACTTGATATGTGTCCAATATATCCTAAAATTAAAACAAAAGTAAATAGAGCAATACTTTAAAAATAGAATTAATAAATAGATTCACTATAGACGCTATCCTTGCAGTCAAACACAACCACCATATTGATATTTTAATTTATTAAGCCCACAAGTATTGATATTATGTAAGAGGAAAAATGTTGTATGTGTCATGTTATCAAATAATATTACGGCATTTATTTAGCTTTCGAGTAAGTATGTATCATCACATCACACACATCAACAGCCTTTAATAGTCCACTGCTGGACAAAGGAGTCTAAGGAGAGGTATGTATATGATATGGCAATTATTTTGGCCTTTGATGCAATTTCCATTCCAATTTTAGTAAAAAAACTTAAATCAGGTGTCAGAGATGCACTAAAAATTTACACTGATTATTTTAAGGCGTTATTGTATCACATACCAGTAACGAAGGTTGTGGGGTTCCTCTAGGGAGCATCTTGGGAGCCCTACTCTCTTCACAATTTATCTCAATGACCTTTGTAATATATCGTTACCAAATTATCATATCTATTTATACATGATGACACTGCCATTATAGTTTAAGGTAAGACTTGCCTTTGCTGACTTTGACAAGCTTTTGGCCTTACAGTCAGCTGGCTTGCGCATATTCTACTGACACATAATGTTGAGAAAACTAACTTCCTAACCTTCGCGATCAATTCTTTTAGCCAACCTACGGAAAATTCTATTACAATAAAATCCCATACTTAAGCAAACAATAGTCTCACATATTTATGTCCCTCCTTAACCAAAACCTCATCTACAAAGAATTTAGGGAACCCTTGATCACTTCCTAAACTGGTATGAACATATACAAATATTGACAGTAAGTCTTAGAAAGTTATTATAGGTTTTCAAAAAGCTTCGATATTGTGCTGACCTTCCTATTCTTGAGGCAGGTTAGCTTAAAGAAATTTATTATCATATCACATACTGCATCTCAATTTGGGGAGGATCTGCAAAGACTTCAGGTTTATTGACCTAGAGCATGTTCAGAGAGCGATCCTTAAAGTCATACACTGGAAACCTTATACATATCCTGTCAACCAACTTCATAAGGACGCAGTATGTCTGACGGATAGACAACTTTATGTCTTATAAGCTTATCTCCGCCGACACAAAACCGTGATTCCACAAACATTGTTAGAAGACCTAAACCTACGTGTCCCAAACTTCAGCCTTTGGCAAGAGAAACATCGAGTATCTAAGTGCAGGCATCCACAAAAAACTAAGTACATAACATCCTAAACATCAAATTCAAACAAAAACAAACTCAAAAAACATCAAATTCTAGTTTGAGGATCAGGGGACTCATATAATTGACTATTGCTATACTACCTATTACAACTTATTTTTGATAAATAAGTAAATGTGTAAGTTTCCTACTTATGCTATGGTTAATTTTATGTAAAAACATTTTATTAGATACCTGTTATTTTGAAAACTAGCTGTTGCAACATAAACATATTACGAACTCAGGTGAGGTTTTGGACAGTGATCAATCAAATCCAACTTGATAGAAACTTTTTCACACATACAAAAAAATGTTTGAAGTCCTGAAATGCAGTCTTTTGTTCTTCTAAAGTTTCTAAATACACTGACAAACATTTTGCGTGCTTCAATATAATTTGATACGCAATTGATGTATTAAGTGGTAAAATAGAATAAAATTCTCAGTTATAATAGTAACGAAATAAAATGGTAATATACTCGTAATGTACGGTCGTATCGGAAATCAAAAATTATTTTCCAAAACTACCCTCTATTTGTGACCTAAGTAATTTGTTTATGTTACAACAGCTAGTTATCAAAATGATTTCAATATCATATACATCCCTACTCGAAAAGTAAAAAAATGCAGTAATATTATGTAATAAAAATAACACATATTTAATCTTACATAATATTTATACTTGTGCGCTTTATAAAAAAATAGCAATGATTAAAAACAAACGTTTTGCTAACACAAAATAACAAGGCCTTTGCCGTGAAAACAGTAACTTTTATCTGTCCTGCGTAAGTGTTTTTGGTGGCTAGGGAGTACGCTCCGCAGTAAAGCCACAGTCGATGCTTATTATTTTGTTACATACTTACAGCGATAACGGCATAAGTACATTATGCACGTTTGATGTAGCTACATTATTTTAAGATAGTATATATTGTTGTGGCTCTGCAGTAGAGCACGACACGAGGGCGCCGTTTCCTTTCATCCAGATAAAAATTGGTTCCGAGGCGGGTTGAAACAATTACTCCTATTACTATACTATAATATAACTAGGTCACGCCAGTTCTTTTTTGGGGTTCCGTACCTCAAAAGGTAAAAAGGAACCCTTATAAGATCACTTTCTTGTTCGTTTATCTGTGTGTCACCACCGGTTTTCTCAGAAACAGGGAGACCTAACAAGTTGAAATTCATACCAGATACAGAGGTTTATGGTCCCTATTAGGTGTATAAAAATCAAGGTCCTGAGTCAACGATCAAAGATATAGGCAAATTTCGATTTTCGCGAAAACTTGGAAGTACCAAAATGTACCTTAATTTTCAACTTTTTTTTATTTTTGAGCATTTTCTCTATACTTGTGCTGTAAGACCTAGCTTTTAACCAAAATTGTCAATTCTAGGTCAACCGGAAGTACCTTATAAGTTTTGGGTCGAAAACCTATATGGTAGTTCCCATTGACTTCAAATCCCGTTGAAATCACGAAATTTGGCATTTGAATAATTCCAAGAAATAAAAAAAGTTGAAAACTAAGATAAATGTTGGTCCTTACAAATTTTCGCGAAAATCTACGTAATATCTGGGTAGGTAAGCAACCCTCTTCAGGCAGCGATAAAGCGGGCCAAGAGCGAGGCCCGCCGCGAGATGCTGGAGACGCTGGAGCGGTGTCTTCAGCCAGAGCTGCTTGAGAGGGTCGTTGGCTCCCTGTTCCCAACGCGAGTGGTGGAGCATACTCCGCCACAGATGGCTCCACCTCCGGCGCTTGAGGCGCCTAACGTGGATGACGACGACGTGCCTGAGGTCACTAGGGTGGAACTAAGGGTGGCGGTGTTACGGCTTAAAGCTAAAAACACCGCCCCGGGACCCGATGGCATTCCTGGCCGAGCGTGGGTCCTGGCCTTAGTCAACGTGGCTCTCGAGCCCCGACTGCGAGGGTTCTTCAGCTCATGCCTCGAGCGGGGCCAGTTTCCGAAATTGTGGAAGACGGGGAAACTGGGCCTCATCCGAAAGGAGGGGCGCCCGGCGGACTCACCGTCCGCCTACCGGCCATAGTGTTGCTTGACGAGGTGTGCAAACTCTTTGAAAGAGTGATTGCAAGGCGCCTCGTCAAGCATCTCGTGATGGTGGGGCCGTATCTGGCGGACAACCAGTACGGTTTCCGTCAGGGGCGCTCCACCGTGGATGCGATCATGCACGTGAAGGCTCTGGCGGAGGAAGCAGTTTACCGGGGCGAAGTGGTGTTGGCGGTGTCCTTGGACATCGCCAACGCGTTAACCACTCTGCCCTGGAGCTGCATACAAAAAAAAAAAAAAGGTACGCAACCCTCGGCGCACGAGTTCGACTCGTACCTGACCGGTTTTTTTTAAGTATAAGTAAATTTATTTACCTTTTCTACTTTTAAAATAAACGTGACATTGTTCGCACTGGAAAAGTGGCGCAGGATTCAGAGGTTGTATCATATGAACTTTGTATTTGTGTCTGTACCAGTGAGTTCGGCTTTGCAATATTTCCCCACATAATTTACAGATGACGCTACCGTCGTTCCGAGTCATATATTCTAGTAAATCACTTCTACCTTTTATTACTACTTCGTTATTCCCATTTTCAAATCTCGGCTCGATATTATCGGGGCTTTGCTCCGTTAAAAAATGCACTCCGGTCGTCATATCTTTCATTGAGGACTCAACAGCAGTATTTTCGATGGTAAAGTCACTTTCGACAACTTCATTGTTAGAAGAGTCCGACATTATCTCCAATGAAATTATAGGCATTCTGCCGTCACCGACATCTTCGTAGAGGTAATGGTATTCTGACATTTCAGCTGCAATCATATTGACGAACAGTTAAACATCAACAAACGATAACTTATACTTAAGAAATAAGGATAAGCTTGCTATGTCCATACATAGGATCCATAAAATAAATTAACTAATTCGCAGGGCGCTGGACAATACACTGCCCAGTTAATGTGCATAAGTTTCTGTAACAAAATTTAAAAAACTATTAATCACAAATTTTCACTTTGACTAACGATTTTATAAATAACAAGACTTTAGTTATGACTGAAATTGCTCGTTTTCGTCAAGAAATAATGTATCTTACCTTAATTACAATAAACACAAAATAAAACAAATATGTAAAAGCTTGACTAAGTTTTTTTTTTTTTTTTTTTAATAAAAAAGACAACTCCCGCACTAGGAATAAATCCTGTGTCGCGGGGGACTTTACAAACATACATGAAACGGACACAAAGTACACCCAGACTCAGAACAACAATTTGTGGATCACACAAACTCTTGTCCCATGGGGGGTATGAACCCACAACACTCGGCGTAATAGGAAGCGGCGTGGCGACCGCTTAAACCACTACGCCATCCGTGCAGTCCAAGTCCAGTTTTTCGAGGCTTCTTCTCAGTCTGTTTTCAGTTGCGAACCTCAAATAAACGACGAATCAAAAAAGTCCTGTGATGTTAATGACGATAAAGATATTGTTTTTCATTTAAACATTCAAAGATATCAATTTGTAGGGTTTTAATTAAAAGCGTTCATATTTTAATATGTTTATTTGTAGTGTAGGTAAATGTTTTCACAATATTTACGCAATACGTGTTGGTAAGATCGTTCTATAAAATATAACTACTATACTTTTGTTATAATAAAAATAAACTTTCGTCTAATTTTAATCAATTTATTGTTAAAGCTTTGATGTTTTGCAACTACAATTACATACCCACGATATTCTATTAAAATTATCAGTTAGACTGTGGTAGTAATTTTGTTAAGAGCTATTGTTAATAATAGACTATCGAATATCTAACATTCTTAATTAATATATCATTACAATATTGTAGGAGTAGTCGAAATAAAAAAACATATTTTAGTATGGCCCACCTTATAAACAAAAGAGGTTTAGGTATTTACCAAATTCTTTATTACCTTAGATCAGTGTATTATTAAGATATGTACGTAGATATATAAGTATATATTGTTGAACGACTAATTGGCCGGAACCTCGTGACAAAAATTCAATTAGAAATATCAAAGTAGAAATATAGTAAACTATATATTTAATTATAAATTTGTATTGAAATATTAACGGTACAGTACTTGATGTGATCGTTAGTAAACTTAATACTCGCTGCCATTAGCTTATAAAAAGTTATCAAGCAAGTAGTTTATAACGTCTAGTTCACTTTTGATCGGTGTTATAATAATCAATTATTATAAATGAGCTGTTGGCATCGAGTAAGTATCAATAGAATATAGAAAAAATCAACACTTGCATATATAAATCATTGCACTTGACACGTATCTAAAATAGTAAAAACTTTCTTGCTTTATTAGTTTATAATAAACATTTTTAAACTTCTAGACGATTTTAATATAACATAGTTTACACCTAGTATATTATTGCCAACAGTAATTAGACATTAGAAGGCCTATATTATACTGCAGTAATGTGGTATGACGCGAATTCTGGTACACTTACCTTTTACCAAAGAAGAAATGGATGTTTAAAAATGGAACGGGTGAAATTAACATAAAAATTAATATTAATTACACAATTATCAACTAATGGTTACTAATGAATTTATGTGCAAACTTTTTAATTTCGTATTACTATTAAAAATAACAAAATAATAAATCGCCGAAATTAAATTTACCAATTGACACAAACTGTGTACATAATACTCTATTCATAGTGTAAAATATATTTTTGCGATGTTTCTAATATTAAAATAAGGCTGCCTTGCAGCATGCGTTTAGAAATGAGAAAAGTATGTATTACAATAACTCAACAATGAACATGACCGCCAACTTAGTTAGCACTAATATCACAAAATAAAATACTACAAAAAGATAAAAGATATACATAACACTTCACCACCCAAAATGATACAATAAAAAAAGGAGAATTTTAAAATAAAATAAAAGAAAATATAGTCTCAACTACTCAACCAACCATTGGAGTGAGTGGTGAAAAATTAAAAGAATAAAAACAAAGGAAACTTGTTAAAAAAATTCAACGTTAATTGACGTTGAGTTAGTTTGTGCGATTGACTGGCGCTGACGTACCTACTTAAATAAAAATCACACTGCAAATTGTTAATACCTTGTCGGCGACTATATATATCTAAATATTTATGTAATACACTGTTAAACTATATACAAGAACGTGAACTAATAAAATCCTCTTATATATAAACTTAACATAAATGAAACTATCCCAAACTTGTGCGCTAAATTTTAAAATACGAAAACTCAATTGATAACCGATAATGTTTAAGTAGATAATATAATTAACACGTACACTTGCGCCATCATTCAATAAAATCTTATTCCACTTCATTTTTTCCAAACCGTGAACTTAAGACAACGTAGGACTGGCATAATAAATCAATCCGAACTCGAACTTAATAATATACATGAATTAGGCGTTACATTAATATTACCTAACAAATTATATTTCCCTTATCAATGGAAGAACTGCTGATTTTGTTTTGGGTCCCAGGCCACTGACCTAGAACATCTTCGCTATTCACTAAATATAATCTACGAGTGAAATAATAAGGGTTGAACTTCAGTAATATTAAACACATTATACAAATTGATTAATAATTGTGCTATGGCACTATTAAGTTATATGTTAACGTATTCATATTTTTCACGATACTTCGCTTGTTAAAATAGATTCATCAAATAGGTACATATTGTACATAACAGTAGGTTCACTAATATTCAAATATTTTAATAGTCTATATATAGTCTTTATTAAGATAGAAAAGATATTTTAACATAATTAATATTTCTATTTTAATAATGCTTTCAAATGATATCTAAATATATATGTATATTATTTCGTCGAAATATATGACACGAGCCGTATCTGCAGCGAAGTGCGGGTTTATACCACAGGCACCGGTAGCAATGTGCGAACATACACGACATTAACTTACTTTTATTTGTAATACAGTCTTTGGTTGGTGTCTTGCGGTATCTCGAATAACTATAAGTATTTTAGGCATTTTAAGGCGGTAACGCCTTCAGAATTAAACTTTAACTGCGTATATGGAAGGCACATGTCAGACTTTAATAGCATTTACGAATGCTTAAATTTACAAAAAAACAAGTTAAATTCAACACGCAGTAACTGGCCTCAGCGTTTACAATGTATATTATTGTCTAATATTTGCACAACCATACTTTTAAACAAGATAATATAATGAGCTTTATTTTATGTAACAAACATTCTTCATATTAAATGCATAACAGTATTCTTGGAAATATGTAATAATACGTACAATGTAAAAATGTACATGAAAATTTAACTCCAAAAATAGAACGAATACTATAATCGAAACCTCGATATCTGGACAACCTAGAAACTAGCCAAAGGAATTGTTTACACGTTAACGCGGAATCAATAACAATCCACTCAAACTTGCGCAGGGTCAGGCGAAGAGTGTGATGGCGTCGAACCATGCGGCGAGCCAGAACCCACCGGCTCTAGCTTGATGCCGGGCGGTAGTTGGCCCTCCATGCCTGGTAACATGAAGAACGCATTCGGAGGATAAACGCAATCTTTCGGTACATAACAGTCATGCGTAGTCTTCATATGGTTTTTCATTTTGTCTGGTCTGGAGAACTCTTTACAACACACAGGACATGGGAATACTTTCCTTTGGTGTCCTTCGTGGTATAGGAAAGCGTGCCTCTGGAATGAATACTTATTTTTGAAAGTTTTCTGTATATTTTCCTTGGCGCACTCAGTGCACTGATATACTCCCTCGTTGACCGAAGCGTATCTGAACAGATTGAGTCCGCGCACAGACATTTCTGTCAGTTGTTCCGCAGGATCATTGGAAGCAGAATTTGCTCTTCTCCGTATTCGTCTCCTAACAGCTGGCCTTTGCATCTGATTGCTTCCGGTCTGTAGTGTGTTGTTATTTATCGAATCGTTTTGATACTCAGAAGTAGAGGCTTGGGTCGCTGGGTTGACACGAATTTTTCCTGACCCATCATTCATAGGTGATTGGCGAGAATATTTCGTGTCTTTATTTTCCGAATCAGGGCTACCTCGTCCTGTAAGAATAGTCAAGGTCATAAATTATTTAATTCATCTGTTAAACTGTGAATGATTTCAAATGAAAATGATCTAATTATTGATAATGAAAATAATGTCATCATCATGCATCTAGTTCTAAACGATTGGAATGTGATATTTAGCAATAATTGTTTTGCAAGATGCATTCTTGTCTTAGGCATTGTCTTTTAAATATACAGTTCAATTTACTTAACAGTGCAAAATAGGCATTTATTGCAAAAAAATAATTGAACGCAAAATACTACAAGGTTAAGAAAAATGGAAATTAAAATAAAAACAAAACCGGAAAATATATTAACTTTATTTGTTCAAATTGAATGAATGATTTATTTTTACACCATGATTAAAAATGAAAACCAAAATTGCTGGGTTCGCTCCATGAACAGGTTTATCAGCCAGTTTTAATTTTTAGCTGCCAATTTTATTTAGCTAACATTATTTAATAGCACCTCTATTGAAAGACTTTAATACATGAGTTGGTATGATAAACTTGTTAACGAAACGCTTCCCAAACGAAAACATTTAAAACTAGAAAAAAGTGGGAAATAATATCAATTTTGGACAATATTTACTAAATGTATTTATATGTACCAAAATTATAATCATCAGTTCTAATTTAAAACTCATTACAAGCAAAGAAACAGATAACAGTAGGTAGACCTCAATGAATATTGATGTTTTATTTCAACCACGAACTTGTAGCAAACTCAAACTGCTTAAACTATATATTTTAAAATATTCATAAATTAATAAATTAAAAAATAATAACAAAAAAGAACAGATTTCACTATGACATAATAGGACTCAAGTGTTTGCATTTGGAACTATTTCGGCAAGTTCAGTAGGAGGTACATAATTATAAAAATAACACTTCAGTTAACTTAAGTTCACATAAGGTGGGTTTATAGTTGAAAATAACATTAAAAGTATAGTAGGTTGTGCATTGAGTTAAACACACATGAAACTTATATAAACAAAATAGTTGTCAATAATCATACGAAAAAATTCAGAAAATAAAACCAAAAGACAATGTACGGATAAAACATATCAGGAACATGTAATTAGCCTCATTAATTAATATCTGGATAATATTGCATCAGAGATATCTAAGAGTATGGTATAAATAAAAAGCAACAATTTGTACTGGATCAACAAATCAATACTTTGTTCATTGCAGAGCATCAATTTGAGCAACATAGAAAGCATTAAAATATAATCTAGCTCTAACCACACCATCTACGAAACGTGAGAGTAGCATCATACGATAACGTACCTGATCAGTCCTCTCGTCGTGACTAATATAACATCCTACACAGTGTATCCAATGAGAAATCCATTGTTAACAACACTATTTATTTCTATAATATTATAAATAACTTAACTTTTAATCTACTCTTTACTAATAACCCGTGTTGTTACTTTGCTACTATTTAAATATAAAAAAATAATTAAATATTGTTGAAATCGATAGTGTTCATCATCGTTGCTGCATAAATCACGGGTGACAGACCATACAAACTCAATTAAATCATGTCACCATTAGTTTTGTATAAAATCAATAAGCAAGATATTGTCCGTTAAACATATTGGTGTACATCGCTCTACATGGTGTACAGTTGTTAGGTACAATAACATTGTAACAATAATAATTATTATAAATAACATAAAACAGATAATAAAGAAATATAATGTCATAATAAATAAACTCAGAGGGGGCAAAACACAAAATTAACATGAGAACAAATCACAACAAAATAATAAGTAAGACATTGAAAATATGAATCATTTTTGCTGTAACTTTTATTATTCTCTTTAAAGTTTCTAAAAATAGTAATTAACACCTTATTGTATACCATTGTATTTTGTATCATAAACAAGAATCTATGTCGTGTAACTTTCAAATCTAAATTTATCTAGACATTACTCTTTGCATTTTCTATTGTCTAAGTGCAAATAACAAAAAAAAATGTATTTGCTTAACATTTGGCTAAACTCTATGATTATTATAATATTGTTGTGTGAATTTATCAGCTTACGTTTTAAACATCAATTATCTGAACTGTTTTATTTATATATCTGCGAGAGTAATCTTTTAGAGGTTTTAGGTATTTATATTTGTGAGATTGGTCATTTTTAAATTTATCTTATAAATAAAAAGGCGTAAATCTGATGCATTAATGTAATTTGCACATTTAGTTTTTTCAGAATGAATATACTTTTAACTTGATCAATCTCTCAAACAAAATGGCTTCTTATTAAGTACTTATATGATTTATGCAGAAAAAAGTGATTCCTGTAATTAATCCACTATTTCAGAAACTGTGTGACGAAAAGATAATTTTCCCTTTACTAAGAAATCTATTTTGTTCTAGTTTAAGTTATTATTCATATAAATATTGCTAAATGAATTCAATAGTAATGGTTATATTATATTGGCTTATTATTTTGTTCCAATCATTTGGTAAATATACATATTTATTAAAATTTGAATTGAATCGTGTAATTGCGTATATTAAGTCCCGTGACATATTTGTTAACGAATAAATGTAACGATTATGTACTCACATAGATGTTTTTAAAACAACAATATTAACAAACAATATATATCATTTATGTATATTTTTAGGGACAATCCGTTTAATGTCACATCAAATGTGATATTTTCTTAAGTATAATTTAGCACCAATTATGATATAACATTAAAAAATAATAAAATTATTCATTACTGACAGTAATACATACATAAAATTGTAGGTAATTCCTAAGAGTTTATGTCGTAAGTAACATTTACAAATTTAAAAAAAAGGAACAGAGATAGATAAAGTGAGTTTAATATTTAATTATTAAATATTTAAGTAGACAGTGTTTAGGTACACAAATAAATATTGAACGGGTTAAGCTTAGGCACTGGCTAAATTGACTATCATAATGTAAGTGATTGTTTACTTGTCCAATAATAGCCTCACCATAATTAAGTCTAAATTTTTTCATTTAAGTACCTATCAATGCTCAAGGTAAATTTCGTATAAAGATTTATGAAAGGTAGGTACAATAAATTCGTTTTTATGAATTTTAACAGTCTTAATATTGATTATCAAGACCATACGCCTCGAATATTACACGAATTTTACATTCATTTCGTAAATAACATTCACTAGTTGTTCCGATTTCCAAACAAAATGGAAAACATGAGATGATATATTCTTAATTAATTACATCATTTTAATTTAACTACTTGGGCCTAAAAGGTTTCTAAACACCTAAGGAAGCTTCTTAAAATAGATATTGTAAACTCTGAATAATGAAAATAAACAGAACATTTTTTTTTTGAAATTTCTTAGTTGTCTAATAGTTGATAAATATTTAACTTATTAATATACAAGTAAAGGCACACTAATAGGCAAGCGTTCCCTGGACCTACATTTATTTTTATTGGTGAATTTGGGTTTGGGGTCGACAACATAAACATGTATCTATTGAAGTAGAAAATATTAAATATGAAAATTATTAACTTAAAGCGATTCATTCTCTATTTAAAACAACAATTTAGTCGTTCTTTATATAATTGAATTAAGAAGTCGTGTCACTATCGTTACATGGAAGACTACTTTTGCCTATAAATTTAACTCTAAGTAAATAATGTATAAGTACTGTCCCTTATTTAATATTTAAGGCATTTTGTTTTCTACTAAAATATAATTTACAAATCATCTCATGATTCCAGTTATATATAAACTTCATTCAAAGCACCTTGCTAAGATCACTTTAACAACAACGCTTTGTTGTGTTTTCACAAATATATAATTTAAACGTCAACTTTTAAAATATATAATAAATTACAATATCATTGAAATTGTTGTCAATAGTAACCCAAATTGAATAAGGTAGATGTGTTTGTGAAATTAGATAATGTGATAGCAGGATTGCACCCAGCTACTCGAAAGAGTTCGTGTTTGTATAATAAGCACCGCACACCTCTTTGTTTATGCTCTGCTCGAAACGTCTTTGTATAAATAATTCGATGCAAACGCATCACAATCTTTTCATATAGCTAAAACTTTTTGTATTGTCTATGACAAATAGATATTTCTTTTACGTAAATAATTTTATAGTTCAACAAAGACATTCCTATTAATTATAGTTAGGAATTGAAAACTTTTATTAAAATATCTAAATGATTTGGGGCTCTGTTTAATACTCAGGAACTGAACGTTTACTCATAATGTAAGTGTGTAAGTAAGCCTACTTACTATATTTTGTTAGTTCTCGGATCTAATTCACGAGCTATTTTACTATGGATAAATTGATTGTTTTTTAAAGTTGTATATTTTATTACGAGTTAATCGCGTAGGTATTTGATAGTATAATAATATTTACAACCAAATATTTCAACATTGATAAACTATTTTTATTTAATCTTAACAAATTCTAGAAAATAAAATCATAGCCTGTGTTGAGTTTCACTTCGAAGAAGTTAAATTGTCGTCTAAACCTAAGATCACTATTAAGGCAAGTTAAATGAAAATGCATTTGTCGCTACTACTTAAACAATGGCATTTAGTTTTTAAGTCTTTTTATAAAGAGTACGTTTAGCCTCTCGTGTTATAATTATATTACGCAGTCACCGTCAGTTAGGCACTTGTCGCGTGTCGTACCTAACACTCTATTCACAAAAAGACTATGCCATTGTTATATTATACTCATAAACATAAACTAAACTTAAACTAACTAATTCAGTTCAATGAGAATTGCATTAAATATTCAGCACTTAAAAAATTAACTACTTTTGAATTTATGATCACCATGAGTAGATATTTTGTACCCTGAAAATGTTTGTAATTAATAAAATTAAGTAACAAGTAAGTGCAAAATAACAAGTAAATCATAGAAAATTTTATAAATCTCTTTGAAATCAGCACTCTGAGAAACAAATGGAACAATATAAATAAATAGATAAATATTAACAACAAACGACTCTCGTCGTCTAATATCAACAAACTTATTGATATACTCATGAAACTTAGAGCTCGAACGCTTCATCAATACGCAATCTACACCTTTATAAACTATTGAAAATCCAAATTTTAAATAAGGTATAACATGAATAAACTCTATTCTGGCTAATCAGATCTTACATCTTACATCTGCGACCAAAAATACCTACCGAGTGTAACCGAATTCTAAAATGTCTGAATTTTGAATACATTAAGATTCTTGCTTAGCCATTTGCTCATTAGCATTCGATTGATTTTTGTGTATGATCTTAAGATGAGCGATCATATTATCTTTTCGAGTAAATTCCTTGAAACAAATAGGACACGGAAATACTTTTACGTCTTTCTTGTGAGAAGTAACATAGTGCCTGCAGAAATTACTTATGTGGGTGTAGACTCTCGCGCATATTTTACATCTGAATACGTTTTCCCCTTCTTTGATACAGTAATCCCTGACCGACTCATTTGTCTCCTCGTGATAATTGCCGACACTGCCCATATTGGCCTTCCTTATAGGAGAGGGAAATATACGGTGTTCCCAATTGGTCTGGGCTAAATCTGTTACTTCATTATTAGCCAAGTTCAGGTTATTTTGTTCTAGTTCAGCGGCAAACAACTGCGTAGCGAGTGCCGGCATAAGAACAGGGTCTGGAGGGAATTTGTCGAACGTATTCAGCGCAGGATTTAAATTAGATAAGCTGGAAAGTTGGTTGAACAAGTTTCGAGCTCTAATTTTTGACATTTGGGGTAGCATTTTTTTACTATTCTTTGGTTTTAAGTTACGACCTGATAGTCGGTTTTTGTCGTCTGTATCTTTAATAGAACCGTCCCTTGAGTTAGAATTTTCGCGGCTTCTATCAGGGTTGTATTTATATTCAATTGGTTCATTATAAGCGTCGTTAACGTCAGCGGCGGGTTCTTGTTTAATGGATCCATTTTCTATAGATAGTACAGGCCCGTTAGTTGAATAGTTTTGTTGCAATTCCTCTTTTGGTGTTTTTTCAGGATCTGAAAAGTTTATTTCAGTTCTGAATCGATAACAAGTCATGAAATAAATAAAATGACATCTTATTTCATTCGTCAACGTTTTTTGGAAATATTTTAGTGAGTTGCGGTATATTTAGTTTTTAGCTCATTTGTGAAAAACCGTATAAAATAGCGACCTATAAAAAGTATCGATGTGTGGCTGCACACTATAATATTTCCAATTGCTTCATTACTAAGGAAAGCTATTGGGAATAAGCCTTGTTTGTGTACCCTTTTCTTTATATTCGTATTATAAAATATTAAAATTTGAAGAAGTTTAAATAGAAAGAAATTATCAATCAAACCATTAAGTACCACACCGAATTTGCCCCTGGCCATTCCTCTAATAGCTCTCCCCAAAAGCAGAAAAGCAAGCAATAGTTAAAATTGACGATTTATAGAAGAAATAAGCATCTGTTACTTGTATATCAAAAAATTTCATAGATAATCACTTACCCCTTTTCAATAAACTTTAAATATTTAAATGTAAGGTAGGCATTCGTAATACACTTCACTTTTCACTTTTCGCATCCTACATCAAAGCTTATATCCCATTAGCTTTTCCCTTTTAATTTAAATTTAACTAAATTTCTAAACAATGTTAGATGTTTGGAAAGGAAGATTAATTAAGGTATTTACAAAAAGTAAGCAAACATTTTTGTTATTTAACTGTATTGCGCGTTTGGCTATATTTTGTACATTTCATAGGTTTGATATATCGGAGATGATCATCATTATTTTGATAAGTTATTAATAAGTACTTATATAGTGTAAACAAGTGAATAGAATTGTAACCATGTAGCTGAAAATAATATTATAGATCGAACAGAGGACACATACCTGCGGACTCGGAGTCTTTGCCAGTGATAGGAGCTTCAGTTGACTGGGCGTCATCACCTTCATCGATGAGAAGCGCCTCACCCGCCTCTTCGCCACCTGACGTAGCGCCGTCATCTGCGTTGAAACCGTCCATTGACATCTTAACTTCCAACATTTCTGGTGAACCTCGTATTAACTGATCGCCGGGTCTATTTGAAGATGCATGAGAAGCTGCTTCAGGAATGAACTCTCCTGGGGGACTGGCCGCCGTATTAAGTGCATCACTTGAACTGCCACTGAGTTTTCTCGGTCGACCTCGTTTTCTTTTGGGTTGCATTAATGCGTTGCCGAGCAAAGGCATTAATAAGTTAGGAGGTGCCCCTCCGGTGGGCATCCCTGATGCCGGACGTTTTTGATGCATGTATGGATGTATTCTATGCAACTGGGGCGGAGGCGTGTGCGCATTTCCCTGTTGCTGTATTAAGGAGTTTGTCAGCGCTGGAATATCACACTTCTCCTCATTTACTTCAGTCAGACCTTTTATTCTTAAGCTTTCGGCAACTTTTAAAAATGCCGTCAAGCGTTCCTGGTCTACACTGACTTCCCCTCTATACATGAAGTCTAGTAAGCTTTTCATGTCCGCATATGGAACGTCCTTTAAAATGACGATGGGGTGTTTCTCTTGATGATTAACAAAGAGAGCTTGAAAATAAGGACTGCAAGCCGACAACACCATTTTGTGTGCCTTCAGCAGTTGTCCATCGACCGCTAACGTAACATCTGTGAATGTCTCTGCGTGTAATAGTTGATCAAACACAGATAACATATTTGATTGGTGGTTGTTCCACCTCAAACAAAATCTTTGCGTAGCCATTTTCGCTTCTATAATATATTCTTCTTTGGAAGATATGATTTTTAGCAGTCCAAGCTTAAAATCTAATTTAACCAACAACTATTCAATCATGTATACATAAGTATTCTCTCTTGTTCCATGAACAATACAACAAACGTCAACAATAGATAATGTTTACTTTTTAAAAGCCATTTTCAATTTGTATGTTTCATAGTGTTTTAGTGCAGTTTGTGTGACGGACGCAGGGGGACCTGTAACGAGATAACAATCATTGTTTTAGGATTACATCACATGCAAAGAGACTCCATAGACTTAATAGACAAATTTAATATTGATTACAAGTACGTCACAATAATTTATAGTTTAACAGAAAGTTAACGATAGTCATGATTTCTCTGCTTTCTTGCCTATTATTAGTAAATAGTTACCTAGTCTGCATATATGATTACAATATTTATGCACGTTAGCGCTTGTTCTCTGTCACGCTATCATCATCAGAGGGTATATTTTTTTCCCTGATTAAGCTTAAATCGGATATCTTTACTTTTTATATTCGCTTGATTAAAGTCCTCAGTTATTTTTTCATTTATAGTATAGGTACAAAAGTTATACAAAACTATACGATCACCGTGTACCTATATGGTTTTCATTGTGAGTTATCTGTACCGTTAAATAATATTAACAAATTTTAGATATATTTTTAACTCTTTATTAATGGTTGTTTTATGTCATGAAACTTCCATTGTTGATTGATGCGAAATATTTTGTAAAACATGCAATTTTGTTTTAATATGGGCCTATATCGAATTATAATCCATTAATAAATATAAGAGAGTTTATTGATGGTTAATAGTAAAGTGCTTTCTAATACTATAAACATTGTAGAAGCTCCACTAATTGTGTTAAACCAATCGCATTCAAAACACTTCTAACTTGTTCTATACTGAAATATAATTTTTGTTTTATACATTTATCATTTTTAAAGATTATCTATCTAGCATTTTACCATATTATTGCTTTATGCCGTTTACTTTTCGAAATGCATACCATGTGTTCATCTACTGGTTACCCAGGTAGGTCAATGTTGTTAGTTATTGTAAGTCCATTTTATCATTACAACATAACACATATTTCTAGTCAGCGTATTTCTACCAGGCTGTGAATGAATCCAATAGAGCTACACAATCAATCAAGGTTAAAAAAATCGAGGGCGAGTTAGTCTAGAACCGCCGCCGTAAAGGAGCTCAACTACGTGTATCGCATTGGCGAGCGCACTGCAGTACACAAATTGAGTCGTATTTCACAATTGCAGCATCCTATCTCCTAACCATCACATAATCTAACATACATCGCCATCTAGTTAGAATCCGTTAATATCAATCATTTCTATCTCCTGAGAGTAATATTTGTAATCAATGTACGGTCCAATCAGAATCCAATTGGAATCGTCTGGAAATAATTTTAAAGTTACAAAAACACGAACATTTGCTCCACATCCACAGGTGCTGACCACAAACGTTATCGCGGTATAAACGGGCGCTCGAATTATTACTACGCACCCAGTCGAGCGCGTTACATTACGTCATCACAATGGCATTATTACCTCCGATATCCACATTAATTCAACCGATACGTCGAGATAAGCACGGTTTGAGAATAATTATATCACTGCACTAATGTAAAGGAACGTACCACGCGTATCTGCACCACAATCAACTCGACCCTTTTATGGGAATGAGGATCAGCCCTTCCGCCATAGTCCGAGTCCGCGTTTACGTCGCACCCCGCTCACCCGACGACTGACGGCCGCAGCCCGCAACCCCGCGCGACGAACACCGACTCGCTCCGCGACTCGAATATCTCTCACAAAAAATACGCCGTCATCATCGAAATGGCGGCAGCGGATATATTCAGCGCAGGGTGCACGGTAAAATATTGATTTATTGAAATATATTGATTTCCTCTCTTACCGGGTAAATCGCCCTTGACAGGATGCTACGCTTTTCATTTATTTATCAGAGGCTGTTATTCAGCACATTTGTCTAGTGTAGTAATATACCTATTACAAGTTAAAAACATTTTTGTATACTTAGGTATTCGATATTGCAGTGTAAATAGTAGATGAGGACGAAAATAGGGGCGAAGCCGGCAGGGCCGGTTGGCCAACTGCAGTTATGAGATAACTTTTGGGTACTAAAACATTTTTATTTTGGAGGACATCGATTATTCTTCTTTGACTGGTTTCTATTTTACAATAAAATATTACAAAACCTTTTATTTTATTTAAAATTACCCTTCAAAGTCTGTCAGTTTAAAGATGCTGCTAAGACAACGAATTTAAAATTAATTTAAATTTAAAACGATAGTAAAACATATTCTCATTTCGTATTAACGAAGTAAGTAGGACTGAAATTATATAATATATTGTTGTAATATTGTTTGAATCGTCTGAGTAAACCTACCTTATCATAGATATATTCAAGGGATGAGTTTTCCACGTGAAAAACATCAATCCATTCGTGTTGTCGCCATGTCAGCAGTGTCTTCTGTCTCTGTTCCGCCCGGGCGGGGTTGGATGGGCGCCCTCTTAGCGGCGACCGCCGCCGATGATGGCCGAGCGCCGCCACTTTTCGCAACCGAACCCACCCGAGTCCACACGGAAAATAGATTGCAGGGCGCACTTATATTTTTAAGTTTCAAATTCACTTGAACCAACACGATTTTTTATTTTGATTTCTTTAATGTCTAAAAAATATTTTTCTTAGTTAACATTAAACGATTTACCACTGTATTCTTTTTAAAGCGTCCGATTATTTAATAACTAGGAATTTCAGGACATAAAAAAAACCGCGCGCGATGTTACTCGGAAGTATTTTTAATAAAAATGGCCTGCCGCCTCGGCGGGAGGAGTGGCAATGGGCAATGAGGTCGGTACCCTCTCTCTGGCACCCGCGCGCGCCCCTCCCTGCCGCTACACTCCGGCACAGGGTTAGAAAGTTTCAAAAGTGAATCGTGGAAAATATGAACACTGATTCCTGAGTGCATCGCTTTACAAGTCCGAAGAAGACAATTAGGGATTTTTTTCCTTACGCAATAAATAACAGATCCACATTAAATATCCTGTTTTTGATGACTTACTTATTAATATAATGACTAAGCACCTGAATGTTCTTCTTTTGATGTATATTATTTAAATGAGTACCTATATAATGATGCCCATTTACAGTTTAAATAATCACCTCCTGCATAATAGGTATGACGTTTAGGTACCATTTCGTTATCATTTGCACTCCCTACCCGACGCTGATTGATCCGCGTCACATTGCGAGATTCCATTAGTTCTGTTCTATGTCAATCAATATTTTATCAGTTTAAATTGTATTTTTGCTTGTCGTTACTACTCAGATAACAATACTTTAATACAATTGTTAGATACAAACTATTTTCTTTCAACTAAAACTTTACTGTTATGATTTTTGGATTTTGGTGCGGACCCAGAAACTTAAGTTAATAAACTTAAATAAATTACAAGTGAGGAGGCCTCACTTGTACTTTATTTTCAGAATCATATTACTTTTTTATTGTCAATTCAATTACACCTCAGTTCCGTAATTTATTCTTTATTTCGTACACATAAAGCTATATAACATAAGCAAGCATTTATCGCATAGCCATCGATTTTAACTAAAATATTTTCGCATTTACAATTTATTTAAGTTACGAGGCTTATCAAATATTTAGCTGTAGGTACCAAGAACTCAACTGCTCTACGGCCGTAGATGGTAGGTACTTTCTCGTAGAGCCCTAATGAGTATCAGACGTTATGGTCAATATAAACACTAGTCCTTTAACCTATCTTTTTTTTGTATATGTAGTATTCCTGTGAACTGGTTTATTAATATTCTAATTGGTACGTTCGATTTCTTAACTTTTTCCAGTAACAGTAAGCATGAAATAGATTTAATGGATTTAAAAAATCGTGGGGCATTGAAACAGGGTGAAACGTCTGTATTGAACAAACCAATACAACGTTAAACTAAATTTATATGAATTTGCATGAACTCAGAAAAAAAGAAAATTAAATAGAGATAAAACACCTTCCCCTCTTCCTGGCATAAGTGTTGAAATCCAAATACATTGAGCCATGCCCCCATGAGGGTCAACAGTTTTAAATCAAAATATGTTTAAAAGTATACCTACCAGTCTCCATATCTCGTCACCATCAAATAATAATCTTTCAAATGTTTTAGCGTGTGTAAGTAACAAACATATTAACTCCGACATACAAACTTTTTCATTTATAAAATAAGTAAATTAGAATATGTTACAGATCTAGTTGATTTAAATTGTGTCTGATTATATACTTCGTATTGTTAGGATACAGTTAGTTTATTTGTGTGTATGATACTTAACTCACCATGAAGTTATTGTGGCAACATCCATCCTGATCGTTTTCCGTTTAAACATTATGCGGAAAACATGTCTTCCGCATATCTTAAGTTCTGGATTCGAGTCAATGATACCTGGAAAGTTAAGAATAAGTTCATAACTTGTCTTTATGTACTTCACACTTATTAATACATTCCTACGGTTAGTATTCTTGATAGGAAACGTCAATAATTCTGTGAATAATAAGACACAGAAATATTTTTTTGTGGATGTATATGCCATAAAGTCTGTATCGATTGGACGAAGCGAGAGTTATAATTCAGTAGTGACCTGACCTAGGTCATCGTGCCCGTGTTAGCTGAAGTCCTTACAGTCGGCTGACCCAGTTTCAGTCGGTGCGGCTGATGCATAAAAGCTTGCTAGCACACTTTCCCTCTAATAACAAGCACGGCCTGGAATAAACGTAGCACATTTTAGCATACAGCGTTCTTGTGGTGGCGAAAATTTACATACGAGTATATATATACATTTAAATGATAAGTATGGCTGAGCTGTTTTTGATCTGTTCCAGAAAAATAAAAAAAGTATATAATAATAAGTTGCAGTATCGAGTGTGTGTATAAGTCTACCTT